TTTCTTTAAAAAAAGGCACCAGACCAGTGGTGTTTTTGATAAAAGAGGATACATTTTTATCTTCTCATCATAAAAATGAGAAGGATTGCTAAATGTAGTATGTCTTGACCGAATCTGCATTGACAACTGTGTCAATTGCCTTTCCCTCCATATCCGCCAATTGCAAAGCTCCTTTGGATAGCACTTGCTTAATAACATAAGGTCCTTGCCAATTTGGAGCAAACTTTCCCTTGGCCTCGTCTTGGTGGGGAAGGATACGTTTCACAACAAGTTGACCTATTTCAAAATTCCTTGGGCGTACTTTCTTATTATATGCCCGAGCCATCCTCTGCTGATATAATTGACCAAAACAAATTGATGTCAATCGTTTTTCTTCTATCAGTGCTAATTGTTCTAACCTCGATTTAACCCATTCTGTATCCTCGATTTCTGCTTCAACAATGGTTCGAAGTGAAGGGATTTCAACTTCTGCGGGTATGACAGCCTGAGTTCCATAAACCAATAAGTAAGGAGTTGCACCGACTAACGTACGAATAGTCGTGCGATATCCCATGAGAGCGAAGGGTAATTTCTCATGCCACTGTCTAGATCCTTGCACCATTTTTCTAAGAATCTTCTTGATGTTCTTATTCGCAGCTTCAACAACCCCATTTGCTTTGGGACGATAAGGGGTTGAATGGCGATGAACAATTTTAAATTGCTCACAAACTTCCTTCATCAAGTGACTGTTGAGATTCATTGCATTGTCTGTAATAATTATTTTTGGTATGCCAAAACGACATATGATGTTGGAATGAATGAAGTCCACCACCGCTTTCTTGGTAACTGATTTGAATGTGACAGCTTCTACCCATTTGGTAAAGTAATCGATGGCAACTAAAATAAACCGATGACCATTAGATGCTTTTGGCTCTATTGGCCCAATAACGTCTATTCCCCATGTAACAAAAGGCCATGGAGCAGACATAGGATGCAACTCTAAAGGGGGTGAGTGAATCAAGTCGCTATGAATTTGGCACTGATGGCACTTGCGAACAAATTGGAAGCAATCTCGCTCCATGGTCAACCAATAGTACCCTGCCCGAATAATTTTTTTTGCTAAGACGTAACCATTCATGTGTGGGCCACATACCCCTGAGTGTACCTCGTTCATAACTGTTTCCGCTTCTTGATTATTCACACATCGTAATAAATTCAAATCCGGAGTCCTTTTATATAAGATATCGCCACTTAAGAGGAACCCATTGGCGAGTCGCCTAATAGTTCTTTTTTTTATCTCTATCAGCATGCAATGGATATTCTCTAGCTTTTATAAATTGTTTGATGTCGTGATACCAAGGCTGACCATCTGCCTCTACCGCAATTATATTGCAATAACCATGTTGATCCCTAACTTGGATTTCCAACGGGTCAATGTATGTATTACCTGGGTATGGAAGCATCGATGCTAGGGTGGCCAAAGCATCAGCCAACTCATTGTGAAACCTGGGAATATATCTAAATTCAATGGACTTGAAATTTTTGATGAGATCTTCTAAACATTGTTTGTACGGTATGAGCTTAATGTCTCGAGTTTCCCATTCGCCTCGAGCTTGTCGAATGAGCAAGTCGAAATCCCCTAAGACTAAGAGCTCATGTACATCTAGATTTATTGCCATATTCAAACCCATGATGCAAGCTTCATATTCTGTTGTGTTGTTGGTAGAAAAGAATCGAAGTCGTGCTGTGGCAGGATAATGACAATCGCTTGGTGAGATAAGAACTGCCCCAATGCCCACTCCGTTTTTGTTGACAGCCCCATCAAAATATAATTTCCATACGGGGTCATTATCAGGAATTTCTTTCTCAATAGAGTTGATCTCTTCATCAGGGACGTATGTCTTTAAGGGTTCGTATTCATCATCAATCGGATTCTCTGCCAGATGATCGGCCAACGCTTGTGTTTTCATGGCGGTGCGAGTAACATACGCAAAATCAAATTCGGTAAGCAAAATCTGCCATTTTGCCAACCTACCCGTCGGCATGGCTTTTTGAAAAATATATTTCAGAGGATCCATTCGAGATATGAGGTAAGTGGTGTGGGACAAAAAATAGTGCTTCAATTTTTGGGCGACCCAAGTTAAAGCACAACATGTTTTTTCTAATAGAGTGTACTTTGCCTCATAGGATGTGAACTTTTTGCTCAAGTAATAGATGGCTTGTTCCTTTTTCCCTATGACGTCATGTTGTCCTAGAACGCAACCAAAAGAATTATCCGTTACCGAGAGGTATAAAAACAAAGGCCTACCAGGCTCTAGGGGGACCAGTACCGGAGGATTTGCTAAATATTCCTTGATCTTGTCAAAAGCATTTTGACACTCACTTGTCCATTTAATAGCAGCATCTTTTTTCAATAACTTGAATATCGGCTCGCATGTAGTAGTGAGTTGAGCGATGAATCGGCTGATATAGTTTAACCTTCCCAGAAAACTCATGACTTCAGTTCTGGTTTTTGGAGGTGGTAATTCTCGAATGGACTTTATCTTGGAGGGGTCTAATTCAATGCCTCTTCGGCTAACTATAAAACCCAAAAGCTTGCCAGATGGAACTCCAAATGCACATTTAGCCGGATTAAGCTTGAGATTGTACTTTCTCAATCTTTCAAAAAATTTTCTTAGATCACGCACATGGTCAATTTGCGTCCTAGACTTAATGATGACATCATCGACATACACCTCAACTTCTTTATGCATCATGTCATGGAATATTGTAGTCATAACTCTCATGTAGGTTGCCCCTGCATTTTTTAGACCAAATGGCATGACCCTATAACAATATGTACCCCACGGGGTAGTGAAAGCAGTTTTTTCAGCGTCTTTTTCATCCATGAGAATTTGGTGATATCCGGCGTAGCAGTCCACAAAAGATTGAATCTCGTGTTTAGCACAATTGTCAACCAAGATATGAATGTTGGGTAGTGGAAAATTGTCTTTTGGACTTGCTTTGTTTAAATCTCGATAATCAACACAAACTCTGATCTTTCCATCCTTTTTTGGTACTGGCACAACATTAGCCAACCAAGTAGTGTATTGGATGACCCTGATCACTTTTGCATTCAGTTGTTTCATGATTTCCTCTTTGATTTTATCGCTCATATCTGCCTTAAATTTTCTCTGCTTTTGCTGGACAGGTGGAAAATCAGGATGTATGGGAAGTTTGTGAACTACCAAATCAGCACTTAACCTAGGCATGTCATCATATGACCAAGCGAAGACATCTTTGTATTCAATTAAAACTTGAATTATGTCGTCTCGAATAGTTCGATCGACATGAATGCTTATCTTTATTTCTTTCACTTCTTCGGGAGTTCCCAAATTAAACACCTCTGTTTCACCTAAATTAGGTTTAGGCTTATTTTCAAATTGATCCAAACCCCTTTTAATTTCTTCATCAGCTTCATCTTCATCATATTCCTTAGACTTAGGATTCATTCTTATGAGATCAGAACTTTTTAGGATCTAATTGTAAACTCCGCATGCATGTCATATTATTAAAGTTAACGTAACTGAAATGAAAATATGATGGCAAATATTAGAAAGAGTAGGAGCATAGAAGATGACTAGAACTTTATTGCATTGAATGGGAAAGGATAGAAGGGTTAACAATAAAGCGAAACAAACTAGAATGTTTGAATTACAACCCTGAGAATAATCCAAGAAAATAAAATAAAAAAAACAGCAAAACAAAACTGCCATGACTCCTTTTTTGTAGGGAGAGGAGTGGCTTTCCAGTTATTAAGTTGGACATTCGGGCCGATAAACTGCACATACATATGACTAGTGCCCTCACCCCTCTAAGTCATATTTACCTCATAAAACATTTCCTTGATACCTTGGCACATTTCATCCACATCATTTTGGATTGGTAAGTCTGGACACGGTTCACCTTGAGATTTAATGAAAGACTGAGCAATATGGGGGATCGGCTTCGACAGATTCCAAGCATTTCTTTTACGATCTTTTGCCCATTTACTATCAAATCTAGTTGGATTGAAACCCAAACTGAATGTATCTTGATTACCCATTGGACTGATAGGATTCACAATTCCTTGCAACGACAAACCTAACCCCTTTCCAGGCTCATAGCCATTTTGTACCATTTGAGCCACCACCATGACTGAAGTAGAAAACAGACGAGGTTGGAGGATAGGATTTCTTTCTAAGAACTGATTAACCGTTATTATCTCCAAAGCCTGATAGTTGAGGGATTCACAACCTCTTTTAGCCTCAATGCATGGTATTGAAGGATCTCGGGTGATTGGGAGATCATCTTCACCATGGACAATGATTTCTTGTTTGTCATGTTCAAACTTGACCACTTGGTGTAGAGTAGATGGCACAGCTTTTGCCATGTGGATCCATGGCCTACCCAACAGCAGATTGTAAGACGTGTCCATGTCAATAACTTGGAAAGTGATTCCAAACTCCGCTGGTCCAATTGTAACAATTAAGTATATTTCGCCAAGAGTATCCCGTTTTGCACCATCAAATGCCCGTACACAAACATTGTTAGTACGAATTCTATCAGCGTTGATTTTTAAACTCTGCAGAGTGGAAAGAGGGCATATGTCTACACCTGATCCTCCATCAACCATGACTCTCTTCACATAGTGTTCTTCACATTTTACGATTAAATGTAGAGCCCTATTATGTCCAGATCCTTCCAAGGGCAATTCATCATCAGTGAAAGTGATTCTATTCACCTCAAAAATTTGATTGACCATATTTTCCAAGTGACCTACCGTAATGTTTTCTGATATATGCGCCTCATTCAAAATTCTGGTCAACACTTCACGATGTTCTTTAGAATGTATGAGTAATGACAATAAAGAGATTTGAGCAGGCGTTTTCCTCAACTGATGTATAACAGAATAATCCTGAGCTTTCATCTTTTTCAGAAACTCTTCAGCATCTTCCTCAGTGACTGGTTTTTTCATCGGCATGTGATTTTCTTTGATTTGTTTGTCCCTCCTTAATTCTTCCGGAGCATAACATCTTCCGGAACGAGTCAAACCTCTTGTTTCATTTGTTTCTTCAACAATCTCCTTTCCCTTGTGAGTAACGACGACTTTTTTGTAGTTCCACGGAACGGCCTTGGTGTTTGTGATAGGAAGTTGTGCTGCAATTTGTATCACAACTGGATCTTTCATACCTTTTTTATTTTGATCAAACGTTGAAAATTTACCAGGAATGTAGCATTTTAGTCCATTCAACGGTACGTCTCCTCTTTTTATAGACTCAGGGACATACAACACTAGCTTCCTCGAGTTCCCAGAATTCGAACGTGCACCTTTAACAATTATCGGTGCCCTTTGTATGGGTTCTAAAACCATACTAGACTCTTCTCTTAAAACCTTGCTTTCCACTTTTGCTCTACTTGTTTGCTCATAATCTTCAAAAATGTCAACCATCCCCACAACACGCTCATTATTATGAGCAGGGAGTGGGTTATTGGTGACATTCGGTGCTTCCTCATTGCGTACCTCGATTACCTTGTCCTCAATTAACTTCTCAATGACTCTTTTTAGGGTCCAAAAATTCTCTGTGCTATGACCTGGAGTGTTGGCGTGATACTCGCATATAACAGTCGGATCAAAACCTCTTGCATTTGGATTGACAATGTACGGATTGACAGGTTCAACCAGTCTCAATTGTATCAGTTTTTGTAACAAACTCGTATACGATTCCCCAATTGGGGTAAAAATTTCTTTTTGACCTTGTTCTCTCGTACAGTTTGCCCGGGGACGTGGATTATATGGAGCCTGGAAAATTTGTTGTTGTGGGCGAGAAACTTGTGGGGTAGGCCCCCGCCATTATTGGCGCGAAGGAGGCCGAACATACGCCTGAGTATTGAGAACTGCATATTGGGACGGGTAATAATGCCGAGGAGAATTATATTTTTCTTGTTGGACTTGACAATAAGGATTCTTCATGCCTATTTGAACACCTCTTGATTCAGATGCCACCATGGACCCTTCCTCCTTCTTTTTTCGATTGATAAAATTACCGGATCCACTTTGTATTGCTTGTGTGGTAGCTCTAATGGCTGCTTGACTCACAATCTTACCCGACTTTATGCCATTCTCTACCATTTCTCCGATCTTAATCGCTTCGGCGAAAGGCTTGCCCATTGCGGCGAGAAGATAATGAAAGTAGTCAGGTTCTTGAGCCTGGAGAAAAACATCAATTAGCTCATAGTCTTTCATCGGCGGCTTGACTCTAGCCGCCTGCTCCCTCTATCTTATGGCATATTCCCTAAAACTTTCTGATGGCTTTTTTTTCATATTAGCTAGGGAATTGCGATCGGGAACAATATCAATATTGTACTGAAATTGTTGGACAAAATCTTGTGCCATATCATCCCAAACGTGCCAATGAGAAATGTCCTGATCGATAAACCATTCTGATGCTACGCCTGTTAAACTCTCTCCAAAGTAAGCCATAAGAAGTTCTTCTTTTCCTCCGGCTCCTCTCAACTGATTACAGAATCTTCTCAAATGAGCCACTGGATCTCCATGACCATTATATTTATCAAATTTTGGAGTTTTGAACCCTAGAGGCAAGTGAACATATGGAAACATGCACAAGTCCTTAAATGAGACACTTTTGTGTCCTCCCAGACCTTGCATATTCCTTATGTTTTGTTCCAAACTCCTCATTTTTCTTGCAATTTCTTCATGTTCCTTATTCTTTATGTTTTTCTCAACTTCAACGGGAGAACTGTATTTGTGGTGATTAGGAACATTGAAAGTTAATTTAGGGGCATGACCTTGGCCGTATTGATCTTTGAGTATAGGGTCATCATTGGATTGTTGTACCAGTGTTTGTTGAGGAATTGTATTAGTTTGGACAGTAGGCATGAAAAGTGGATTATTCATCATTGATGGTTTTAACGGGTTTACTGAGGAAGTTCCGGCAGTATTAGATGTGTTAATGTAGGGTCCAAACCCAGGTGGATAAACTGGGTCACTTGTTGAGACTTGGATGGGGAATGGCATATTCACATTTAAATATTCTTGAATTGAAGGTGGAGGAGCTTGCCCATTCATCCAAGCTTCGTACATTTCGGTCATCTGTTGTCTTAACATTTTCACCTCTTCTATAGGTACCAATTCTTGCGCAACCATTTGGGTTTGTGCGTCGTCATTTTCGGACTCTGTTCCATCTTTATGTGTCATCTTTTCTTTCCCTTTTGATCTTGTGTTATATTGATGAGATGTCAGCTCTCCTCACAAACCAACCACCTTTAAAACTCTCTAAATTCTCATATATATATATATATATAAAAGAAACATGTGTTAGGATTCAACATATTGAGGATATTAAATTCACGTTGTATGTTATGCACCTAGATTTTCATATGTCTACAATGTGTTTTGGAAGACTTTTATGTTTCATCCCGGCTTTGGATGACTTACTTATGTCATTTGGTCTCCTACTTTACTTACTTGAATAATTTGAATGCATTTTGATTGAACCTATTAAAGGTTGCCTACGTATCATGTTTGAACATGAATCAGATCATTACGTAGTTCATTGATAAATTTCTTTCAAAAAAAAAAATAAATACGAAATTTGTTTAACTTGAAAATACCATTCAAATCAAAATAACCAAAATAAAATATCAAAGTACTTATAAAAAAATGACGAACTAAAAAGAGGGAAAAATAATAAAACAATAAAAAATCCATCTCCGTCATTTCTTGATCATCAATTGCCCCCTAAGCTAGAGTAGATCTTGAACAAAGCTTTTGGCAGATGTGGGGCTAATGCACGCGCCTCTCGACCCAGGCTCTCATCACTTCGATGGAGATGACCACCATAAACATCTATCAAGCTCTTTGTCAACTGAAGCACTTGTCCTTTTGCCTCCTCCATATTCTCATGACAATTCTGCAACCATTCTTCGGTAGTGATAGCTGTATCACTCAGATGCTCTTCATGTGCTTGAAGCTCTTCAATCCGGTTATGAAATTCTTCACGCTCTTCCATCCATTGATTTCTTTCGGTCGCCACTTCTGCTTGGTACAATGTAAAACGGTTTGCGATGTCCCTTTCTCGTCCCATAGAGGCTTTTAATTGATTTTGTAACCTATCTTGCGCATGTATTAAGAGGCTCTTTTCTTTCTTATATTCTTCCTCCTGTTGCTCCATAGCACCTGTGACAATGCCCAAATCTTCATGTAGGGTTCGAATAGTAGATAGATGCTTCTTTTCAACCCTTTTTTCAATCAAAGCAACTCTTTCCTCGAATATTGCATCACGTCGAGCCAACTCTTCTTTAACATTTTTTAGGTCATTGTTTAGGATATCTAAAGTAGATCTATAATTTCTTTCCACCTCGAGTCGGGCCTGCTTGATTCTTACTTCAATTTCCACTCCTCGATCTATGATTTCTCGTGCAGATCCTTCGGGCATTATTTTGAGAGGGGTTTGATCAAAGAACCAATGGAGGTATAAGGGGTCAACTTCTCCTTCAACACGATCATCAACCATAGCTTTCGAACTTAAAGTTCAACTACCACCCCAAATCTTTTGAGCTTCTGATTCTCGATCTCGATTTTCAAATGCTACTTCCCACACAAAATTCCGCGAATCCTCGGCTTTAGGTAAAATTTATTTTTGTCCAAGTTGGCGTAGAACTCGGAGGGGTATGTATGGTTGGAACCCACGAAGGCCTGTCAGAACGAAGAATGGACAATAGGAAGACATAACAATTACCTCACTAGCAGGAAACCAATGATAGTTCCATGTAATTTTAGATGCCGTCAGTTTAAGAAGATAATGTCTCTATGCTTTGACACCTTTTGGCAATTTGTCTCCTAATTTTTTCATCCTTTCTGGGTGGCTCAAAATATAATTCGTCCAATCAGATTTGAAATCCGTCGCAAAACGATGGCGATATAGGTGCTCTAAAAACCACATTTGCAATAAAATGCTACAACCTTCAAAAAAATCTCCCCCTCTCTACATTTAGTCAAAACACGATAAATATCAGCCAACATCATCGGCAATATAGTGGATTTTCTTTTCTTTATCATAACAGTGACTATCCCTGACAGACGAATATCAATTTTTTTATCCTTCCTTGGAAAAACCATAGCTCCCAAGAATGCTACCATGAATGCTTCTTGTCTATGTTTTTCCCAAGTAGGGAGGTGTTGTCCATTTTTAAGTTGCTTCCCATAGCTTGAAAATCCTTCTTTCCTTCCATATCTTGAGTACAAGAATTCCAAAGAAACCAACCCATTATCAAAACACTCACATTCCTTATGAGTATGGATGATGTGCATCTGTTCTAAAAATTTACCTCTGCTGACACTCCTAGGGGCTATCAGTGTTTTAGTTCGAAGATCCTGGCCTAAGCCTGTTAAACCACCCAATTCTTCTAATGTAGGCGTCAACTCAAAATCACTAAATCGAAACACATTATTTGTGGAGTCCCAAAATGGAATCAAAGCCTCGATCAAACCTCTGTCAGGACTAAATCTCATGATATCTGTAAGGAAACCAAGATGTTTGAATATCTCAGTCCGCCTAAATTCATGCATATCGTTCCACCAATCCATTAGTAATTGTGGGGGTTTTATCTGTGATCATAAACTTTGGGGGATCATTGACCATTTCGACTAGTTCATCCCTTGGTCTTTTATCACACCTCATAGATCTCATGATTACCTGATTGAAAAAAAAATCAGAATTTTTTAAAATCAACTTTACTTGTGAAAATTTTATGATTCGAAATTATTTATAAAAATGATTCGGAATGTCTGAAGTGATTATTGATTCAGGTTGTTTTGAAAAGAATGAACAATTTTGAAAAGAAAAAAAAGAAAAATAAAAGAAGGTGTATAGGTACTATTTAAAAGACATATATACATATATTATTAATATTATTATATTTATTATTTATGTATTATTTTAATAAAAGTAAAAAAATAAAATTGAGGATTAGGTGTGTATGTATATATATGTGTATTAATTTGTTTATTTTGAATCATTAATTGAAAATGGGTAGAAAATAGATATTTATTTCTTTAGTCGATTATCCTAAAGCCGGTCAACATTTTGTTACAGTCTTCACATGATGCAACAAGTAGCACAAAAATGCACATGATGGTCTCACGAATAGATATCTGTCTTAGTCAAATTAGACCCCTATGCTAAATTCCGCTAAGTTACATCCAACAATGCAAATAAATTGGAACCTAGTAAGGATTTCATGTCTGAAAGTTTCAATTCTACTAAGGTAAGATATCTAGACTGCTGTAAAACGAGCGGACTACTCGAGTCAGGGAGTAGCAACGTACCGGTAGCAGCGCTTTCCGACTTTGTGCATGGGTGCTCCCTATCCTAAAATGGTGTGACTACATATCCTTCACCATGGACCGAAGATCCACTGGCTATCTTGACAGAAGTGGGGTGCATAGTTGCAATTCCCATCATATTTTATTGAAGACTTAGAATGGTTCGGGAGAGAAGCAATTCAAATATTATTAAAAACATTAAATAAATAAACAATTAGCATATTAAGTTAAAATAAATACAATATCCAAAAGCATAAATATATAAGTCATAGTCATACATAAATTAAAATTTAAAGCTCGAATTCTAGTTATTCCCCAGCGGAGTCGTCATCTGTCACGCCCTTTCTTTTCACATATCTCAATATTTTTTTTTGATTTTTTATTGTTTGAAAAAGAAAAAGAGTTTTTCCAATTAGAGTGACGTTTTGAAAAGGGATAATTATTCAGAGTCGCCACTTGGAATTGAGTTTTGGTGTTCGAAGTCACCTTATTTAAATCTCTAATCAAAAGGAAATTTGACTCTATTTTATTGATCTGCAAACTAAAAATTCGGGTAAGGAATTCTGTTGACTGAGGGGAAGGTGTTAGGCACCCCTCGAGTCCCGTGGTTCTAGCACGGTCGCTTTATTGATTTTAGTATGACTTAACTTAATTTTTGGACACTGTATTATTTAACTTAATAATAAAATTATTATTTATTTTCAGATTTATTTTAAACTGGTTTATTTATTTTAAATGTTCTTCATTTTTTTTGGTCGTGAGTCCATTAATTTTAAAGTTGAACATTCGTATATCTTATACTGCTTATATTTGTATGTTTTTAATTTTTTAATGTTATTATAAGTAGAATATATCTGGTTCTTAAGAATTAGAGTTTGTGTAGGAATAAATATTCAGAGTTCAAGTTAATTTAGGATTATATATTTATTTATTTATTTTAAATTAAAAATAGGAAAATAAAATTTTATAAGATTTGAAGTTGGTTTTTATCAAGAAATCCCAAA